CTCTCTCTCCCTCCCCCTCAGTACCCAGCAGAAACTATTTTGCCCTTATTTCTAATTTTGTTGTAGAGAGAGTATAAGCAATAACAGGAAGGGACAAGGGTTTTTGCTGGTTGAGATAAGGATAGCTATACAGGGCATTGACTCACATTGATTTCCTGTGTGTGGGTGTTACCTTCTAGGTTAATTCTTTTTGATCTAACCTTTTCTCTAGTACCTGGTCCCCTTTTCCTATTGGCCTCAGTTGCTTTTAAGGTATCTGCTTTAGTTTCTCTGCGTTAAGGGCAACAAATGCTAGCTAGTTACCTAAAAAACTAGCTAGCATTTGTTGCCCATGTCAACACTTTGATATTTGTCTTTCCTATTGCATCATTCTCTATCATGAACCTCCACTGTGAGGATCCATCTCGCTATAAAGAGCTTTAGGCAGTTTGCTCTTGAGTTACCCAAATGAGACCAGTGTTCTGGCCTCTTGTTTTGTCCTTGGATTCCACCCATCCCATCTAAACTACTCCCTTAGCTTTTTGCCTGCCTTCTAGCTCAGATCTTATGTGTGGCTTGCCTTGACCTGCCCCTTTAGGGATGGCACTCAAGTGTCCCTAAGCCCCATTGCTAAAGTCTGGGTCACTTCTTAACTCTGAACTCCATGGCTACATGTCCCACATACCCACCCACTTCCAGCACCGGCATTATGACAATGGCCAGGTGATAATGATTGCCTGGGCTAGACAAGAATTTTTCTTGGTGACTGGATATTGCCCCATAAGTGGCCCTCCAAATGGGCTGTTTAGTCTCTGACTCCAGGGCATTTCTGGTCAAGCTTAGTCACAACAGATCCATGAATTGATCTACAGATGTCAGTATTCTTCAGGAGTTAGAAGTTCCAACATACATCAATTCTGATTAGTTCACTTTGTTGAGGAGCTTAACATGTTACTACAGAGTCCAGTGATACTACACATTAAAGAATATAAGGATAAAAAATGCATAACATCTTTCTCTAGGCTTGGACACACTTTAATATGTCAACATGTCATCTAATTATATGGTTGTCAAAATAATCTCTCTCTCATGCATTTCCAAAATGGGTGACTGATTGGAGCATTCTTCATAGCTGAGTAACACTGGTCATGTAATATCTAGTCATTATATGAAGAAGGAAAAGGATCCCATACCACTGTTGGCCACTCTGGAAGAAGTGATGAAAGATTCTATTATGATGTCTGTTTATTGTTGTTGAATGGCTAATTATATCCATCTATTCAAATGTGTGTACTGAGTCCTTACTGTTTATAAGGCACAAAGATAGGTTGGCAGAGTGGTTCAAGTGGTAGAGCACCTGCCTAGCAAGTATGAGGCCCTGAGTTTAAACTCCAGTACCACCCAAAAAAGGGCACAGAAATAAGAAAGATATAATACCTGCTCTCCAGGATATCAATCCTATAGGGTACTAGGAAGATTAAGACATATATAAATAGTATAATGCAAAGCAAAATGATACTAAGAGAAATTTGAATAAGGGATAACAAAATATCAGAGGGGAAAATAGGACAAATTCCACACAAATGAACCTTATAAGATGAGTAGTTTGTTGATACAAGGAGATGGAGAAAAGGTAATTATGAACTGGAAAATGGAAGTGAGAAGCCAGAATGGTGTTTGAGGAGCAAGTCCTGAGTGTCATGCTTCTTGAATGAACAAGAGGCATTTTCTACCAAGCATTGTATAATATGAGAAGTACATGTGAACAAAGTATCTTTCCCTAGGAGTCATTCATTTATTCAATAAGCATTTATTGAATGTATTTGACCTTGAGACACTAACAAAATCAGACATGGCTAATAACCTTAAAATGTTCATGTGGCAAGTGCTGTGTGAGAACTTGTCAATGTTCAATTTGTGTAAAAAAGACAGCAAACTGCCCAGTGAGAAAAGGAGGAATTGAATTAATGTGCAATGGATTATATGCAAAACTGTGGAATACAGCAGGAGCAGATTTTAAGAGAAGGAAATGAATTCATTGTTAAATTTATTGTGTCTGAAGGGCCTGTGCGTTTGAAGGTGTTTATAGGTCTGAAATCCTGGGAGTGGGATTTGTGCTGGAGTTAGGATTGGAGAGTCAGGTAGAGTTTGTGAATTTGTCCAGGGTGGGAATTATAAAGAGAAACAGACTTTTTATTATTTTTTTTCCAATTTTTTCTTTTGAATTTTAATTATTTATTTTTTTATTATTCATATGTGCATACAATGCTTGGGTCATTTCTCCCCCCTGCTCCCATCCCCTCCCTTACCACCCACCTCACCCCCTCCCTCTCCCCCCCCCGCCCCCTCGCTACCCAGCTGAAACTATTTTGCTCTTATCTCTAATTTTGTTGAAGAGAGTATAAGTAATAATAGGAAGGAACATGGGTTTTTGCTAGTTGAGATAAGGATAGCTATACAGGGAATTGACTCACATTAATTTCCTGTGCATGTTTGTTACCTTCTAGGTTAATTCTTTTTGATCTAACCTTCCTCTAGTTCCTGGTCCCCTTCTCCTGTTGGCCTCAGTTGCTTTTAAGGTATCTGCTTTAGTTTCTCAGAAACAGACTTTTTAAAGAATGGCTTTTCCCCCATCTCCTTGGGTCAAGAATGAAAGATATGAGTAGGTGCTAACCAGATCTAAAGAGTAGGAAAAGGCTTCTGAACAGAGTATGCAAAAAGGTGTGTGCCAAAAACAAGCATTCTGTTCAGTGAACTGTGAACTGCTTGGTATGGCTTAGGCTTGGGGTACATGAATACCAGTGATGGAAAATGAGATCGAGAAATAACAAAGATGACCACTGATTAATTTTAAGCAGATGAAGGACATGATTAGAATTGCATTTTAGAAAACACCACTCTGGCATGTTGAAGACAAGGGCAAACACAATGAAGTCAGTTAGGAAGCAAAAGGTAGCAAATTGTGAGTGACTCACCAAGGGTTTTTATGTGGTTAAAGAGGAGATGTAGCATTTTCCAAGGAGGAGAAAATTCTAGGTAGCTCCTGCTAAATAAGAGGGTCTTTTGATCTGCTGACCACATTGCCCAATTTGGATATGCAAAGATAGAGCCAGAGCTGCCTTTAGGAGGAGGATAGAAGAGAGCTAAATTTGTTGTGCACAGCAGAATGAAAAGAATCAGAATTCCCAAGGAAACTTTAAGAGGGTGGTAATGAAGCAGAATTAGGAGAAGAGAGTAGGAAGGAAATGACAAACTAGTCAGAAAATGCAGACTGTTGTGTGAGATAAGATAGCCACTCAGAAAAAATCTCTAGTAGTGAGTTAGCCAGAGGATTTTTAATAACAGGTATACCATGTTCAATTTGAGGCCAAATTTCCATGCAATATTAAGTCTAAAGAAATCAAGAAAGAGGTCTGATGGGGTCAATGTAGCTTGAAATTCAGGCAAGAATCCTAGTTTTGCAAGATGCATGCTTAGAGTATAGTCACAGAAAACCATGAGCAGAGAAGCTTCCAGACCCCACCCCCTCCATCTAGGAATTTCAGGAATCTTGCAGAGGACTATGGGTATACACTATCTATCTTAGATAAATAGGCAAATAAAATATGGTCATGCAAATCTTAAGGGGAATAATTTGTTCTATGAACTTTGATGTTGGGCAATTTCATTCTTGTGTGAACATCGTAGCTTGTACTTATGTAATGATGACAGCTATGACATCACTAGGAGATACAATCTAATGAGATCACCATCATATGTATGTCTTTTCATTGACCAAAACATCATCGTGCAGTCCATGAATCTGTGTGTGTGTTTGTGTGTGTGTGTGATTTGTTTTCTCATATCAAGTAGAAATGACATATCAGGAAAATGAGCCTTCTTTATCCTGAGAGTTTAGGATCCTCTGACTATACCAGAGCAGCATACTCATTTTTCCCCACATTGCTCCTCTTCTTGATTTATAATCCCACTCTACCTCTACAATCTGATTTCTATGTCCACTGTCATATGAACTAGTTCTCACCAAGGTCAACAGTTCAAGGGAACCCTTCAAAGCTGTAGGACTCCCTGAGTCATTTTATGCAGCTGATTGCTCCTTCTTTATTTAGTTCAGCTCTCTGCTTTGCATCATGGATTTTCTCTGATTTCTTCCATCCTCTCTGGTCAGTCTCTGTGTTCTCCATACTCTCCCTGGGTGACTTCATCAAAACCTCTACCTTTAAATGCCACCCACACCACATGATCTCCATGATTACTTCCAGCATAAATCCCACCCAACCCCCAACTCTATTCCCACATGTTCAAATAGACAGGCACCTCAGACAATGTATTTTTAACCGAACCCATCTTCCTCCTGCAATGCCTGCCCTTGCTGTGTTCCCTATTCTATTTTGTGGTATTTTGGGCTACCCACATGGCACAACTGGGAATGCAGGAGTCAACGTAGATTCTTCTCTTCTGTTGCCCCCTGCCTTCTCCATGTAACTAGTACCTAAACCCTGTAGAGTTTATGTTTTCTTAGTCTCTGTTCTATCTGTCCTGACCTGTATACACCTACACAGTTCAAGTCTGCATAACTTCGTTCCTACATCATTACAATGGGCTCCTAACTGGCCTTCCTGCCAACAGCCTGGGCCCCACTAGATCAAATTCATCGTTCTCTGGGTCACACAAGTAATAGTTTTAAAACCTATGTAAACATCATGCCTCTTACAATCCTCTGAGGCTCCTCTTGGCTTTTGTAGTTGAGTCTACATTCTTTACCTTACACTCTCAGGACCAGTTCCTTTATTCTTAGCCCATGCCACCCTTTTTTTTTTAGTCATAGAAAATTTTACCAGCTTCTTGAAATACACATCTGTGGTTCAGACAGGCATATAATTTCAGAGAAACTGGGTAAACATGACCACTGACTGAGACCCATTTCCCATTTTTGGTGTACCACAATGATGCCTTACAACTCCTTGTGTTTCTGGGAGACAACTTTTTGGCTGTGATTTATTTCAGCCATTAATTTTTACTAAGGGCTTTTGGACAGGTTAAAGGTTAGAAGACTCAAATAGTAAAGGATGAGCTGGATTGGATGAAATACCCAACACCAAAGGAATAGTCAAAATCTAAATATCCAACAATAGTTGAGATTTCTTAGAAGTTTTGGCTTGTGTGATGGTATATAGTTATCTTCCCTTTCTGTACAAAAAATTATATATGTGTTCCAATGTGCATTAAGAAGGATTTTTAAGATATAGTAAGGGGTTTTCAGTAATTGGTCTATGTGGTAGGATCATGAGGATTCTTTATGTCCTTTTGCTCTGATATTCTGATTTTTCTTCATGATCAATGCTATGTTTGTAAAAAACAAAAGGCCATACATATATTGTAAAAAACAAAACAAAACAAAACCTCCTATCCCCTTTGGAAATACTGGTTTTGAACTCAGAGCCTCATGCATACTAGGGAGACACTCTCACTTGAGTCACACCCCCACCAAAAAATGCTATTCCACCAAAGATATCAATACTTGGGATAACCCTGTTGAAATACTAAGTTTTCTTTTCTTTCTTTCTTTCTTTCTTTCTTTTTTAACCAAATTGCTGCTTTTACAGAATATATTAAATCTTATCATTTCTGGCCATTTTATATACTACTTTCTCTCCTCAAACTGAAATGACTTTCTGCATCATGAGACTTTGTTTTTTCAGTCAGGTAAACTCTCTATTTTTACAAAACTCAAATTAAGTGTCACCTTGTCTGAAGAAGTCCGTATCTTCTTTAGGTCAAGGGTTTATGGTAAAATGTGACTCACAGGCAAAATTCACCCGACACCCACTTTTGAGCAGCTTATACACTAAGAAGAGTTTTTACTCTTCTGGAAGAATTGATTGCCTTAGGAGTCTCACTGGTTTGAGGACACTTTTCTAATTCAACTTGATCTTCACAGCATGAAGCAAGAGCGCCTCATACAGAGGAGCCACTAGGTAAATAAGTACACAAGTGCATGAAGGAATGGTGTAAGTGCTCTCCTTCCACTGGAATATAAATTCCACGGAATATAAGAAAAATGGGTTTATCTCCATTGTTCACTGTGTGTCTCCTGTATCTGGAAGAGTATCTGGAACATGGTGAGTGCTCAGAAAATGTCTGTGGAAGTTATGTGCATCAATGGTGGTAACATATTTCTGGTTTTGTAAGACTTTAAACCAATTCTTCGCCTTTTCTATCATGCTATTTGGTGGTTAAGAAGCTCACAGAAAATAGAGACAGTTTTAACTTTGTCATGAAAGGAAGCTGTCCTGAGGTCTTTTCCAGAACATATGGACTTACCCTATCCTTCAGAGTGTCTCAATACAGACATTGCAGCCTGTTATTACCTCTTCATTTTACCCACTAGTACTTGCTATCTCAGGGCAGGTGTTGAATCAAGATTGTGCTGACACTGAGTTATTAAATACCTGTTGGCAGCAAGGCCTATGAAACAGGGTGCCTTGGAATTCTGGCCCTGGTTCAAATCAGGATGAGGTATATTTTCGGAGATCAAGATGCACAAATAAATCATAGCCTAACACACTTCATCTGATCTTGGACAGGCTTTCTCCCAATGAGTTGAAAGGTCTTTATAGAATATGAACCAATTACTTTTCATGCCTTGTCTGAGAGTTTATAGGGAAAGTGAAGTAGAATCCCTGTCCTGTGTGAAATAATGATTGTCATAATACCTTATAGGTTCACAGTACCGAATTCTGAAATAACATGTTCTAGAAATGTTTTTCCTTAATGATAAATACTCTCAATGTCAGACCATATCATATCTTGTTTGTAATTGTGTGTGAGGATCTGTATCTTTATTTAAATTTTGTTAAGTGCCTACTAAGTGCATTCTGCGCTCTTCTAAGGTACAAAAAGCTCCATCAAGCCAGCCTTTTATAATACAAATGAAAGCCTAAGTCTTTTGATCACTTACCCTCCCCACCCAACCAACCCCTGGCAACACATGAACTATTAACTCTTCCCTGCATCCAACAGGGCTACCACACACCCTTTTTCTGAGACTCCTGCAAGGTCTTATCAATAACATGGTTTACCAGCAAACATTTACATCTCTGCTCCCCTCTCACACTTTACCTTTGGTGTAGAAGACTCACACACAAGGATCAGGAGAAAGGAAGGTCTGTCTTGGCTTTGAAACAACAGATGACACAGACAGACACATATACACACATACCTTTTAAAAAACGTACCTACACTTTAACTGTTACTTCTTTGAGCAACAAGAATGAAATTGGTTGTGAACTCTAATGAAAAGGAGTGAAAATAATGAAGTCACTATCAAAGGAAACAACAGGCTTCATTGTGATTCTGAGAATGAGGCCTTTGGGACATTTGAGTCTGCATAGAAGCAATCAGACACTGACAGAGGAGTCTGGACTTTGCTGTCAGAGATGCCCAATTTCACCTGCAGCTTAACCTTACTTCTTAATCTTTCATCTCAAAATGGGGTTAGCACCTTTTAATGTTGTGAGACATACATATATAAGATAACTTAAGTTATACATAAGATAACTTAGTTCAGAAAATGTCACTCACCTACCACTCTCTCACATGGAACCGGGGCACTGACTTAGCTCACAGCCTCTGGAATCTCTCTAAGTGATTGTAGCATTTGTTCCCATTGGGTAAGAGAATGTCTGAACAATAGAAACAGACTAAAAGAAACAGACCCAAGAACCACTGGAGATCTTCTCTAGTGAAACACCATACTGTTGATTGTAGATAATCCAAAGCTCTGTTTGTGAAGCAAAAAATTATTGAGTGGGTAGCCCAGAGTTTGCCATGTCCACAGTTCTAACTATAGGACACAAAAAATACATTGATAATCATAGTTAATGCAAAGAACTTTAGAAGGGGTATATAGCTTTCATAAATCAAGGCAGAGCACTAGAGTTGAAGAAAGGTCATCTCTGGTACATCTTTCTCTTATTTGAAATTAGATGCTTCTTGAGTGACAGAGGGTAGGATGGAATGATAGCTGGAGATAGAAATGTATGACTCCATATCTTCAGGTATATTTTTTGGATATTGGCATCATGACAATTTATGTAGGGGAAAAGAAAGTGCTGAGTCTCACTGGACTAAGGCTTGTCAAAGGAGAGATCCAAGGAAGACTTGAATGGTGGGTCTTAAGCATCAGCCACAAGATAGCTCTGAATTTGGGGGGCTTACCTTCTGGGCATTCCCTTAGCACTTATTTCCTCCCAACCAAGAAACTTCTTTCTACTTTTCCCTTCCAGAAAACTGATTTTAATAATAATGATTGAACTGACTGCTGGCTTGTATAAATAGAAGTACATCTGCTGCTATATGACTCTCACATCAGTGAATCCAGGTAAATGGCCACAGTGGGTCTTTCCCAACATTTTATCTTACTACCAAAAGAGCCTTTTTAGAAAGCTCTTGACTTCAGTCCTTTAGAAAGAGATCCGGCCAGATTTTCTTGGACATGAGGAAAACAAAGAAAGGCAAATGCTAAGGACTCAAATCCTTTTGGGGTGAGAATGTAATATATTTAATATCCAGCAATGTTACATACACAACAGACAGATATATCAACTCACAGGAAAATATTAATTTGTCTTTTTAAAAAAAGGAAAAAACCTTCATCCAAATTTATTGGGATTACAAAAATATCAGCACATTCTTTAACTCATTACAGCTCAGAGTCACCAAGACCTCCAGAGATAGGAAGTGAATTTTTAATCACTTCTTGCCCATACAAATCTCAAAACATAAAAAAGTTTATTTTCATATTTACAAAAGAAACATGCTAATTGTGTTTTTTAAATTCTCTTTGGAATTCCAGGGTGAGGTTATCTTTAAAGTCAGGGAACATTTCAAATTAAAGGAGGTATTTTAGAAAAATCTCACAATTCATTCCTTGTGACACCTATGAACAGGTCAGTGTCCTCTTCTAAGAGGTTGTATTTTTACCGCAGAGCTTCTGGAACTTCCACCTACAAAAAAACGGGGTTTTCCTTCAATGAAGTAACACAAATGATAAAGTTAAAAAAAGTTATCTGTAGAATCTGTCTCTAGCAGTGTTCTCTGAGAAGAACTCAAATATAGATTGATTAATACAGCATGGTATTTGCATTTTATATTATAAATTTGGTTGTAAATCACTTGCAACTTTGTGTTGAAATTTCTGATAAGTGATTAATCTTTTTGGAATGTAGATTATACTCCCTGACTTCCCTGTTACGGAAATTTAAGATTTTTATGTGTTGGAGTGTCTTAAAAGGGTCCTGGCTGAGATGCTAAGAAAGTGGTCTAGGCATACCTCTCCCATAGAAATGTGCTCACACTCGTGTGCCTGCTCCTTATGCTCCATATTTGTTATACTAAGTTAGCTCTCATCTGTTAAAATATTTAAAGTATTAATAAGCATATGGTGAGGCCATTTTGATACCATCATGTCATAGAGGCCAACTTGTTTATTACATCTGTGCTTGAATGTCTGTTGTGGGGTGACTTACCCTCCTTAGCTGTCTTATGCTGCTCCCCCGAATTGCTTCCATGAGGTTCTCATGAGCTGATCTCTGTGGGGTAGAAGGTCGGGAACTGTCTTCCATTTTCTTTTCTTGTACTGACCTCAGAGAATTCTTTATTTCCTTTAGGATATTGTTTGGCTGTTTCTTAACCTTTTTTCCTTTCTTCTTTCTCTGTCCATTTTGTAATGCCCGCTGGGCACTCTCCTGTTGCTTAATGACTTCTGCAATGTTTCTGGTGATTAGTTTTTTCTCTGGGAGTGGAGGAGGAGGAGGGGGTGGAGGGGGTGGAGGAGGAGGACGCAGCATTTGGGGAGGAAGAGGTGGAGGAGGAGGAGGGGGTGGGGCCACAGGGGATGGAGGTCTGCTTCTCACAGTCTGGACTTTCTTGGGGAGTTTTGGAGATGACCAGGGAGAGTGCCTGGGAGATGCATAAGGAGAAGAGCCAGGTGTTCCCCTTTGCCAGACTTTGGTCCTAAGATTGGATCCTCCGTCATATCCCTCTTGCTGTTTCTGCTCCTGCATCCGCTTTTGCCTCTGTTTGTCCATATTTCTCGTTAAGATGCTAGTCATGCTCATTCTTGGTCCTGGGAGCTCGAAGTGGTATCCTAGCCTCAGCAGCGTTGTGTTCTCCTTCAGTAGCTTGACAATCTCCATCTCCACCTGGCTGCCCATGATGTGTCTTTGGTTGTGGAAGCGCAGCTCCGTGAGCACCGTGTTGTGCTGCAGAGCTCGCACAATGGCCAGGATCCCCTTCCCGGTTATGAAGTTGGACTCAACGTTGACACTGGTGATGTGCTCGTTGACCTTCAGCATTTCTGCAATGGCGATGGCCGCACTGTCATCAGCATGCGTGTTGGCCAGACTAAACGTCTTCACCATGGTGTTGTCCTTGAGGGCCTCAGCAAAACGGGTGAGGGTCTGCGTTGTGATGTTCTCGATGTTGTTCAAATTGACTTCTACAGTGTCAGGGTCATTGTTTTTAATCTTTTCCAAAGCATCCTCAATAACAGTAGGATTTCCGCAAGGGTGAATGGCAGCTGGTGACTCTGTGTTCCTCCCACCATTGCCATTGGTTAAATTGATATTTTCTATTTGACTTTTAAATGTCTTTGGCTTAGAGCTGTCAGAATTGACACTATTGCAGTTTAAGCTTCCATTAATGCCTTTTGCAGATTCAGTTCGCTCTTCTTCATCACTGTGCTCTTCCTCTTCTTCTTCCTCTTCTTCCTGAGAGTCCTCTTGTCCCTCCTCCTCTTCCTCCTCCTCAGTGTACACCTCCTCAGAAACCTCACTGTTGCTCTCGGTGAAGATCAGCTCTTCCTCACTCTCCTCCTTGTCTTCTTCGGCAACCTAAGGAGTACCATGATATCATCAAGTTTTTCATTTTAAGTATGTTGTAATAATTTACAAAAGTCATGTAACACATGATCTATGGTGAAGAAAGCTAACAGTCTCCTGCTTTTTATCTCTCTAGGTCAAGTGACCAAGGTGAACATTTTGTTTTCTATAAAACATCCAGCATTCCATTTATTGAATAGAAATATCATTTTGCCAATTTGAACAAATAAGCCAGAACTTCAGTTTTGGAAAACCCTTAATGAATTTTTCAATATTTTGACTACAGGCTTTCCTACTTGACTCCTTGTCTACTTACAGTTTAGCAAATACAAGCCTCCACTCTGGAATCATCCCTCTGTTCTTTCTTACTTCTCCATCCCTCACAAACAAATGGTAACAGAAATATACAATATAGTAATGAGTTCCTTTTTTTAATGTTCAAAAATTCTTCCCCAGGTTGTACACCCCTGTAATCCCAGCATTTGGGAGGTGGAGATAGGAGGATCGTGATTTAGAGGCCAGCCTGAGTTAGATAGTGAGATTCTGATTCAAAAAACAAAACCAAACAAAAATTCCTCTTCATATCTAAAGCAAATGTGACAGGAGGCAAGGAGGCAAGTACTCTCTTGTCTCAGTATAGACACAGGGGCATCATTTGCTCCTTGAGCATCTATTTATTTATGTGGTAAAACCTGGCAAAGGGAGTCAGAGAGCTCCCTGAGAGCTGCTGCTCAGGACAGCAAGAGGTCAGAACCCAGTTCTATCTTGCAGAAAAAGCATTTAAGTCTTTTTATCAGCAAATCAGCTTGAAGCTTCCATTGAGCTCAGGGTTAAATGAGATGCCCATGTAAGAAAGATAATCACCTTAGCAGTCACTAGATTCCAATTAGTAATGTGGCTCAGCAGAGAACAGTAGGAAATCTTGATGAAGCAAGTCATTGCTCAGCCTGGTATTTTTAAATTATTTAGCATGTATAATATATGAAAGATTTTCATGTAAGCACAATTCTATCTTTGTCTTTCCTGATTTCAAGACTCTGTACAAAAAAGGCCAGTGACCCCTTCTTTTATGATTAAAAAGGTCTTGAAAGTGCTGACAAAGTCCAATTTTCTCTCATGCTTTCTTTTTAGCCCTTCCTCCTTATCTTCTCTGAAGCCCCAGGGCCCTCCCTTATCCCCAAAGCCCTGATTTCTTCCATCTACATTGGAAACTTTTTTAACTCCAAGAGTTGCTGATGCCCGAGGCACGTGACTGAGCTTTGGAAAACACTGCACTGGACTCCAGATTTGTTTGCTCAGTTGCTATCACAAAATAGCCTCCAGCTATCCACTTGTTTGGAGTGGCAGGCACCAAGTGATGGCCTGGGAAGGGGTCAGCCACTCCTGGAATGACTTGTCCAGTCTTAATTTACTCACATATTCAGGACAGGAGGGAGAGGAACTTTCTCTCTCCTTCTCTCTCTCTCTCTTTCCCTCTCTCTCTCTCTGTGTGTGTGTGTGTGTATGTGTATGTGTTTGTAAGTCACAACCTAAAAGAAAGAAGCTATTTCTAGTCAAGACTTTGGCACGTACGAGGAGAGAAAGGTAGCCTTTTATGCCCAGCAGTAAACGGTTTGAGTGGACGAAGGAAGAATTGTAGACAGATCCTCCACACCCCACCCCTAATACCTTTGTATATGTTCTTATAATTCTAGTCCATATTAGCTGTGTGTGTGCATGTGTTTGTAAGTATGTGTTTTTAGCCGTCTCAGTATTTGGAGGAAAGGGACTTGTCTTAAAAACGCAACCTTTTATGGCATCATTAAATTTTATCCCCAAAGTTTTTCAGAGGCCTCTATGAGCTGTTTCTTGCTCACAATACGGGAAGGATAATATCTGAAACTGTTACCTAGCAGTGTGACTTGTCATGTAACACCTAAATGATGCTTCCTCCAGGAAGCCTTTTTTGACACCTCCTTAAATTATCCCTGAAATGAGTTCCCCTATCACTCTACCTCCCCCAATAAACTGTCTACCACACTTTAATTAATTGTTGCTGTTCTTTCCATTAGCCTGTTAGCAGGGTGAGAGGGGTACCATGTCTGTTTTTCTCACTTAGCATAGTGCTTAGCATGTTGTAGATACCTGATAAGTATTTGTTTAGTGAACGCTCACAATAGGAACTAGAAATACTGAAAAAGTTGTGCATGGTAAGGTGCCAACTGTCCTGGCTTTTTTGCTTGAGCCTCTAGGATCTTAGTTCTAAAATCTAGATAGTCCTGGGCAATCTAGATAGTCTCTGGTCAGCCCAGAGGTAACACCTGAAATAACCTCAGGAGGGATAAAAGAATCTATAGAGAGGAGGCAGAAAGGTGCAAAAGACAAACTTTACCTCCTATATAAATTATTCCTGCACTGGAGGAGGTAGCTCTCCTGCCTGTGCTTTGTAGCTAGCCCTGGTTCTTTGGAGAATGGAGGTGAGAAGGTAAACACAGGGGTGAAGAGGCAAGGGAAGAGGTTGGCAAGAGCCTGTGTAGAGAGAAAGTGAATGTTGGTGTACTTAGAGAATAAATAAGGCAATGAGAAGGAGGTGGCCAGCCATTTCTCCTGACCACCTCTCTGACATCATCACGTTAACAAAGAGGCCAGAAGCTTAGTTTTCAATTCTGTTTCTGTTTCCCTCTATAAAATGCTGGTTGACTTTGGACAAATCACTAAACCTCTTTTGGACTCAAGGCAACTACATTAGAGTTTAGTGGTTCTTAGTGTCCTAATTGTCACACTTGGAGGGCTTGTGGACCACAGGCTCTTGTGCCCTGACCCAGAGTTTCTCAGTCAGAAGATACTGGGGAGCTCTAGAATTCATAGTTCTAAGAAGTTCCCAAGTGCTGCTGCTGCTATTGCTTGCATATTCACAATTTTGAGACCTGTGGTCTTTGTGCCAACAGACTGCTTTAAATTTCGATTTACAAGCTGTACACTTCAAATAAGTTTCTTAACCTCTCCTAGTTTCAGTTCTCATGTGCAGAAAGGTAAGAATGAAATGAGACAATGTGAGGAAACCCATTGACACCTGTGCCTGAGCTCCAGGAGCTACTCAAGCAAGAGGAGCTATATCAGTGCACGTACAGGGCCCCCCAGATATCTACACATTCATGTAAACCCAGGTGGAAAGAAGGCTGTCATTCAGTAGGTACACCACAGGATTTTCATAAGCCTTTACAGCCTGACCCTAAGACCCCTAGCTTCTCCTCATGAGCTTCTGTTCTCTTCATTTATGCAGCTGCCCTGATCTCCTTCCCCTCTCAGCTGCTTTAAGATTTTTCCTGTGGTGGGAATGGATTTACACCCTCCATCAGCACTCCTGGTGACTACGGGATAGCTGGCCAGCAGGGACAGCATAGTGGAAGAAAAGTTAACCAGCTGAGAAAGGAATCAAAGTTCATCAACAAGACAGCCTCTCTAATTGGGCTGACAAGCCATTGACAGGGGTCAGCAAAACCTTTGGCAGCGTCAGGCAGGTTTCATTAACTGACAGCAGGCTTTGCCCTCTGCTTCTCACTGCTGCCTTGACATTTTGACATTTAAATGCCTTTGTTGGGTTATTGCTATGACTGGCTGTGTGTCTTGGGTATTAAGAGAAAATTTTATTTATACCACTATATTTGAAATTAAAATGTCATTATATTTTATCAGACTTTTGACACTCAGTCCCACTTCAAGGAAAAAAAAACTTAAAATTATGATCGTGGAGGAACTGATCAGCCCAAATCCTGGCTGGTTATGTGTGTGTCTCTTGTTACCTTCCCTTCTAGCTCCTCAAAATGGGCAACCATGTGGCCTTGGCAGACTCTGGCCTGATCCCAGTGGCTCTTCCTGTGATGATTGACATGAACAAAGCTCACACATATCTTGCTGCAAATGTGGCTCACACACCTATCAACAGGATCATCCAACAGCACCCAGATTAGTACCAGGGTAGGCTTGCTGCTGACTTGATTTTGATTTTAGGTAATTTTAGTGAAGCACTGGGATTTAAACTTGTTTCCAGTCTCTATTCTTCCACAAAATTCAGTAATTTCTTTCTTTTATTAGAATTTTATTGCTATAATGACTTTCCCAGAGATTAGTCTTTTAAACTTCCTTTCCATAATGACTCATTGGCAAATTCAAAGTAACTGTTTCCTGAGCAGTACACTGGGGCTGAGTATAAGCACATTTCCTGGCCTCAGAATCACTATTGTAAGATAGGAAGACTCTTTGAAATCATCTGTACAGGTGTACTTAACCTGGGTCCTCAGCAGGGTTTCATCATTTTGAAATTCTATGCAAAGTATATATACCTTTGCACAGGTACATATGCACACATTTTCTTGTAAAGAAGGTCTAGAACTTTTCAGAATCTCGGAGGGGGTTCTTAATTCAAAAAAGAAACACTGTATTAAACTCCCTTAATGGACAAATGGACAGAGAATCCTGAAGAAGAGATGGAGTAGGACTAGAAATAAGGCCCTGTGATTCTCAGTCCCATTTACTTCCCACCATCCCACCCTTCATGGTACTGGAAACAATACAACTATTTTTAATGTAACCACTATTGTAGACAAAGCAACAAAAAATAAAAGTAGTTAACTAAAAAAAGTTGTGTTGAAACATACATGCTACTTATAGCCCAAATAAGACTTTTATGTTTGGCAAAACATTTAAACCCATACTCTGGTTGTGAATTATTTTCCTCTTGAGGTTCCCATGTTTAGTCAGTCAAAAAACCCAATCTGGGAACTTTTACCTATTATGATCCATTGGCTGGTCACAGAAGTTACAAGACTATTTCAGCCTGAGAAATGTTTCGGTAACCAGTTCAAGTGGGTTATGAACAAGTTGAAGTGATGAGGACTGAGAAGTTAGAGAAAACAAAGATGCGTAGGGTTGGGGTAGGGGAAAGGGCAGTGGGAGCAGCCAAGGAAAAGTCCAGAGAGCCTACCTTTCCATACTCCCCCAGCCTCTCCTTCTCCAAAAGTTTTTGGGACTCCTTTTCCCAATAGGCCATCAGTGCCTCTCTGCTGAAGTTCCCGGTGGGAGTTTTCTCAGTCAGGCTCTTTTGCCTTAGCCCCACAGGGAGGCTGCGATCAGGTTCAATGTCTTCTAGCTCTCTCTCTAGCTCCTTCAGCTCCTCAGCTGACAGGGAGGCCAGAAGCTCATCCTCGTCGATGGATTCATATTTACTAAGTCCCCGTCTGTAGCCAAAAGTAGACATGGTCCCTGCTTTGTCAGACCCACAAGGAACTGGAAGAACCAGGCATTCAAGGCAGCCCCAGCAGGCAGGGAGGCAAGTGGGCAGGCTGGTCAGCAACTGGTGCTAGGAGTGGCTGTAGGAGCCTTTTAAGACTGGTGATGCAGGACTGTGACAATGCAGAGAGGGTGAAAGCATGGGCTGTTTTAAGCATCAGACGTCAGCTAGACATTTGAACACAAAGAATGTCACATCGGTGGTGGATGGAGGTCTCAGAACCAGCAGGGATTATTAACGTGGCTAGGGCCATATTTAGCTGAGCCTGATAGCTCGTGAGGACAGCAGCATGTTTCAGATAGGGAACAACACCTTCTCCTCACTTTGTGTTCAAACAAAAAGGGGATAAAAGTTACTTTGAAAATGGCTTGCCACTACCAGCGTAGCCATGGAAATGCTTTCACTATAACCTCAGGGGCTGAGTGAGCAATGACTCCACTTCACACTATAGGTAGTTGTGCTGGTTCTTCAATAATCATTCTGTGGGTGGTGTGGATGGGACGAAGGCCAAAATAACACAGCACCTTAGGACTTTACTGTACCTCGCAGTTTACAAAACACATTCATGAAATTTTCCTAATCTTAAATCCTGTGAGAAGAATAATATGCTCCTCATTTATAGATTTGGCAATTGAGACTCTCAGAGATTAAATGAAAAATTTGAAGGCAGACAGCTGGAAGGGCAGAAGTTGCTTTCGGGCAAATGGCTTTCTTCTCCTCATAAATATTAATTAGAAACATGATTTTAATAAAATACCAAAAAGACAAATAATAATAATGGGTGTGATTTATTAAGGGTCAACACTATGTCAGCCCATTGTGAAGCATTTTATATATTTTAAATCATTTAACTCCATTATCCTCTGAGGTATATATTATTGCCCATATTTTGCTAGTACACAACCAGAGAGGTGAAGTAACTAGCCTGGGAGTGCAGGGCTAATTACTAGAGCTAAAATTTGTAGGTAGATTTATATCTGGGCAGGAAATTGAAGAGATGCTGGTTTGTAATTACACATATGTGCCCATTATTATGAATGTGTTAAAATACAAATATAGTTTATAGGGCTTCATAATAATATTGTCATTTTAACATACAGATATATAAAAACGTGTTACAATGTGTGTATAGAAATATGCATTTATCAATACAGAAATATGTAATATTTCATTTAACCATTTAGCAGTTGGAGAATATTTGGGTTGATTCTAGGTTTGGGTTATGAATAATGCTGCTATGATGTACATTCAAATCTTTGGCCATATGTTTTTCCTTCTCTTGGTCAGGTATGTAGGAGTGAAATTACTGGGTTATATGGTAAATTGCTTTCTAAAATGGCTGTGCCACAGCAATGGGCGAGTTTCAGCTTCTCAGATTCTTCATCTGTTTTGCTGAGGATAGCCATGGTGAGTGTGAAACAGGAGTTTTAATTTTCACTTCCCCAATAACTAATATTGAGCGTCACCTCATGTGTTTATTGGCCTTCTTATATTTTCATTGGTAAAATATTTACTTAATATTTATGCTTTTTTCTAAATCAATTTATCTTTTTAATTAAGTTATGAGATAAGTTATGGACACAAGTACTTTATCAGACATATGATTTGTATGTATTTTCTCCCATTCTGTGGTTCTTTTAGTGCCTTTTGAAACACAAATGTTTTTAAATTTGATGAAGTCAAATTTATCATTTTTTCTTCTATCACTTGTGTTTTGGTGTTATAGTTAAATCATTTCTTAATTCAAGGCCACAGAGATTCACTCCTATGTTTTCTTCTACAAGTTTATAGTCTTAGGTTTTTATATTTAGGCTTATCACACATTTAGATTTAATTTTTGTGCATGTATAAGGTAAGGGTACAAATTCATGTTTTTGCAGATATCAAGTCATTTTAGCACTATTTATTGAAAAGATTATCTTCTCCAGTATTGAATTGTGGGAAAGTAGCTAACCATAAACATAAAGATGTATTTCTGGACAGTCATTTCTGTTTTATTGATCTGTATGTCTGCATAACAACACCACACAGTCTTGATTACTGTTACTTTGTGATGTGTTTAGGGGAGGAAGTGTAAGTTCTTTTGCAAGAATATTTTGACTAAATATGGTATTCTGTCTTCAAAATAACTGTATGAAACTTTTCAGTGATGTAAATAAGAGAATGATGAAATTATAAATGATGAGTTCATTTTTTAAAATTTATTTTTGAAGACATAATATTTGTCCATATTTATGAGGTACTAGTGATATTTTGATTCATGTATATAATAAATTATGATCAAATATGATAATTAGCATCATTAGGTTTTCCTTTTCCCAATCTGTAGCATATACTTTTTTGTAGCATCAGTGGAAACATGTCTTCATTTATTTCGGCTTCCTTTTTTTTTTTTCTTTTTTAGTGTGGGATGGGGTTTGAACTCAGGGCTTTGCACTTACTAAGTAGGTGCTCTACTGCTTAAGCCATGCCTCTACTCCATTTTGCTCTGGTTATTTTGGAGATGGGGGTCTTACCAACTATTTGTCCAGGTTGATCTTGAACCATGATCTTCCTGGCCTAAACCTCCCAAGAAGCTAGGGTTGTAAGCATGAGCCACAGAGCCCAACTGTGTCTTTGCTTTTAAAAAATGGGTTTGACTTTTGGCAGGGGCTTTAAGTCAAAAAGCTAAATCTGGTGAATGAAATGAGTTCTTCAGTTTTATAATGGCATTTTACACAACAAATGACATGACTATGTAAAAAATGCTTTTTTTAAAGGAGAAGAAATATATATAAATGCTAGTACAAATTTATTCTTTCTATATTTTTTTCTAGGCACATATGATATGTTGACCACTGTACAAGTTTTGGGGTGTATAGTTATTTAACAAATAGTGGAATTATGTTTATTTGTAATTTTTTATAAGTATGGTGAAATTTCATTTTACAATTAACTAAACACACATTATATTCTTAATTCTAATTTAATTGTTGGTGTTAGGACAGTGAAACAGACAATATATAAATAAATGTGCAAATACAGAACATATTAGACAGAAGCTCTGTGAAGAAAAATAGAACAAGGTAAGGGGAAGCAAGAAGACTGCAGGGGTAATTTTCAATAGAAAGATTTCTATAATAAGTGACATTTGAACACAGACCTGGTGAAGTTTCTTTAAATTTAAATTCTTTTAAATTGATTTGTCCCCATAAGAAGGTAACTCTTAAAGCTCTTTCTAACCTCCTTCTTAGCATCATTATTGGTAAGGTCACAGCGTGATGGCTATTGCAACTCTGGCTTGGCTTGGTAAAAGGGCTTGATGTATGCAGATAGTGATATAAATTTAGTGTGACTATAAAATAGTTGTTCAGATAGTCTCAGAATCTCAGACCAGGTTTCAAAGGGCCTTTGAAATACGTGAATCCTCTGTCACTTCTAACCATCTAGTGTTTGCTTGAACATCATCAGTGAAAATAGTACATCCAATAGTTAATTCTACTGTTTAGTGCCTCAAACTGTAGAAAATGCTATCATGTTGAAACTGATTGGAAAATCAGTCCATATGTTTTTAGTTTTCTCATTGGAACAATCCAGAGTAAATATTGTCTTATGTGAGTTTCTTCTGCAGAACCTTGAGTGTCCCATGAATAACTTTGACAGTGACTTCGGAAGAGAAGACATTAAAGTGATTTTTTTGGGTGGTAGCAAAATCACTGAACAAAATCTTGATCTTCGAAGCACTGCCTTAAGAACAATAGTCATTGAGATGACCTTGTGTAGTTGTTATAAATCACTCTGATTATGATAATAATCACAATTCACAACTAATGCATATCCTAGTTCATGAGAACTTCCTCTAAGTATTCTCCATAAACTTCAAAATACATTGGATAAAGTTCTGCTGAGTGACCAAATGTTTCCACTTGACTCTGACTTTGACTTAAACATGATGATTAATTTAGATTTCTTTGGAACCTTCTTTACATCAAGGAAAAAACCCAATCTCATACATGTTCCAAGCATCAGCATTTTATATTTTGGGATTTTTACTTGGTTACAAGTAAAAATTGTGTAGAATTGGCTTTAGAGGTAATGATAGTATAAGCCTTTTGAAGATTAGTATCTTTTATTTTAAAAAATTGCTATTTTGGGGGAGAAATATTTGGATATATGCAATCTCAGTACATTGGTAATTCCCATATTAGAGAAAATTGAGTTTTCTTTTTCATTCTGTTTTTTTCCCTTTGACTTTCCTCTTGAAATGTTATTTGTTTGTTCAATACACACTTACCAACTACTTACTTGGGATAGGCTGTGCTGGAAGCTAGGATTACAAACAGAAAAACAGAAATCAATCTGATCTCTGCCCTCAAGGAGTTCATGCTCATGGGAGAGAGCAGACAGCTGACAATAACATTGAGCCAACCTAGTCAGACACCAGGAGAGAGCCAGAGCACTGAGGAAGCCATGGGTGGAGTCAGAGAAGGCTCAGGAGAGGAAAAAGCTTTCCAGGCAGAGAGAACTGCTGGCCTCTGAGCAAGAGCACAGTAGTGCGAGAAAACAAAAACTGGACATAGGTATAAGGGAGTAGGTGGAGATGAGGCAGAAACTGGCCGGGATTCAAAGAAATTACTTTCAGATCTTACCTCCTCTACCCACCTCTCTCTTTTGATGCATATGGTCAGTGCTTATAGGTGTTAATACTAAACAGGAAGGATTCTCTAGACCAAGGCAGAGTTTCTTATCTTCTAGTATTAAGCGGTGATCTCTAACATTACCCTGTAGCTATCATCCATAGCCATAGTTTACCTGAAGGGGCAACTGTTTAGGTAAGCTGGTAACATTAGTGGAGACTCAATGAGAGTGAGCAAAACTCATCAGTTCCTCCAAAAATCAGGCATTTCAATAAGTAATATTTACAGAGATAGTAATCAGAGAACTAACTCCTAACTACACTGTATACCTCCTTCAATCTAATATTATATAGAGGGAAAAGCCCACTTCCAAAAACTTTACTTTGTAATGGCTTATATGCTTTGGGCAATTAACATTTAGGAGAGTTAAGAGACTTTACAAATTGCTTCTTTGCTTTTTTACTTTAATAACTCCCAAGTTTCAGGAAGAATTT